CCTTACAACAGATCCCAAGAAGCTCGTATTTCTTACCTCTTATCTTACTTATCTTACCTCTTCCGGGACGACACTCAGGTCCGGTGGCAGGGCAGGCTTGAGGGGCAGGGCAGGGATATGCCCAAAGACCCGGATCTTGTAGATAAGATAATCCATCAAGTACAGTTCTTCTATCGATAATTTGTGGAAACTGATTAGCGAATCGGAGCAGCAGGGATGGGGTCTGTTTCCCTGTGGGAGAGGAGGGAGGAGGGAGGAGGGAGGAGGGTGGAGAGAGAGAGGAAGAGGGAAGAGAAATACGAGGTTATAATGGTAATGATAAGAATGATAGCAATAATAATGATAATAATATAGCATGTTTCCCTGTGGGAGAGGAGAGAGAGATAAAGAAGGAAGAGAAATACAAGGTTATAATGGATAAGAATGATAAGAATGATAACAATAATGATGAATAATAGTAATAGTAATAAGAACAAAGCAATAAGTGATAATAATGATAGTAATGCTACTAATACTGATGATAATGACATTTACATTCAACTCGAATGAAGTATCGATTTCATATTTCACCTGTTTTAATATTACGAAATATCTCCCTCTCTCATAATATGACTCAGTACTTGGTCTTATACTTGAATCCTTGGGGCATAAATTCAAGGAATTTGCACAGGGAATCACCGAACCCCCCCCCCCCCTCATTCCATTCAACCTCATAACCAATTTAACTCATTTACTCACCTGGGAAATAGGATAGTACGAACCTGGGGATAGGATAATACGAACCTGGGAAATAGGATAGTACGAACCTGGGAAATAGGATAGTACGAGTGCCTAGTCCTGTCAAGTGGTCTGCTTAGAACCTTGGCCGGATGTCTCTGCCAGAACCTTCCCTGTCCAATGTGGTCACGTGTGTCGCCCATCTTGATGCCCACCTTTTGTAGACAGTTGCCTGAGTACATAGTGTGGAGTGGAACTTACTCTTTATGCAAATATTCGGCCGTTTGTTGTTATATTTGGTATGTTATTTGCTTGATTGAAAGCTGAGATAAAGAGTTTGTTTATGGTATCGATATAAGTTTTTTTTAATCGAATTCAGCTTGATTCTGATACCGATTTGCTCTTTCTGATAAGGATCTCTTAGGAGACAGTATGAACAAGTAAACAAGGCTATAATTATCCCCATTCTAAAACAATAACACAAACAGCAACAATAACAACACCAATAACAATAATAACAACAACACCGATAACAATAATGACAATAACAACACCACTAACAATAATAACAACAACACCGATAACAATAATGACGATAACAACACCAATAACAATAACAACAGTAAAAATAACATAATCATCCCCATTCTAAAACAATAACACAAACAAACAATAGCATTAACAACACCAATAACAATAATACGATAACAACACCAATAACAATAATGACGATAACAACACCACTAACAATAACAACAGTAAAAATAACATAATCATCCCCATTCTAAAACAATAACACAAACAACAACAATAACAATCACCAAATAATAACAATAACACCGATAACAATAATGAATAACAACACCATAACAATAATAACACAACACCGATAACAATAACAATAACAAACACCACAACAAGACTAACAACAACACGATAACAATAATGACATAACAACACCACTAACAATAATAACACCACTAACAATAATGACGATAACAACAACACACTAACAACATAACAACACCAATAACAATAACAATAACACCCACTCACAATAACAACACCACTAACAATAATGACGATAACAACACCACTAAACAATCACAACAGTTAAGATAACAAGACATAAATCACACATAACCTCACCCATGCCCACGTCTTCTCCTTTGGATCGCTCCGGCTTGCAGATTGTGTGGTTCGGAATCGCCAATTCCACGAAGCGACGAACCGCCTCCCTCCCCATCACGTGACCTGCGCCTGTAACGAGTGTGAGAAATTAATTGTAATTAATTATTTTTTTATCGAGTATCTATGCATTGTCGTTATTTTTTTTTTTTTTTTTTTTTTTTTTTTTTATTAATGGTCCCTGGATATTCGTGACCTGCGCCTGTAACGAGTGTGAGAAATTAATTGTTAATTAATTATTTTTTATCGAGTATCTATGCTTTGTCGTTTTTTTTTTTTTTTTTTTTTTTTTTATTAATGGTCCCTGGATAATCGTGACCTGCGCCTGTAACGAGTGCGGAAAATTAATTACTTTTTATCGAGTATCTATGCATTGTCGCTAATTTTTTTTTTTTTTTTTTTTTTTTTTTTTTTTTGTATTAATGGTCCCCCCATCACGTGACCTGCGCCTGTAACGAGTGTGAGAAATTAATTACTTTTTATCGAGTATCTATGCTTTGTCGTTAATTATTATTATTATTATTATTTTTTTTTTTTTTTTTTTTTTTTTGTATTAATGATCCCTGGATATTCGTGATAAAGTCGCTTAAAAGAGAAAATTTCTTTATTCGGAAATAGATGAATTTGAAATTATTAAATGCTATGCTAGTGTTTTTAAAAATATAATGTACTTATTATATACACTTATTATGTACTAACTGCTTACCGTGTCTCTGTTTCATATATGTATGTACTTACCTGTGTCCCTAATATGTATGGTACTTACGGGTGTCCTAATACGCATGTACCCAAGTGTCCCTAAATGTACTAGTATGTACTTACCGTGTCCCCTAACCGCCAAATATGTACTTACCGCTTCCCTACTTACCGTGTCCCTAATACGTATGTACTTACCGTGTCCCTAATATGCATGTACTTGCATATGAGTACTTACCGTGTCCCAATTGCATGTACTTACCGTGTCAATAATATGTGATGTAGCTTACCGTGTCGCCTAAAATATGCATGTACTTAACCGTGTCCCTAATATGTAGGTACTTACCGTGTCCCTAATATGCATGTACTTACCGTGTCCCTAATATTGCATGTACTTACCGTGTCCTAATATGTAGGTACTTACCCCTAATATGTATGTAGCTTACTCGTGTCCCTAATAATGCATGCTATGTTTTAGGTACTTACCCGTGTCCCTAATATGTATGTACTTACCCGTGTCCCTAATATGCATGTACTTTACCTCGTGTCCCTAATATGTATGTACTTCCGTAATTAAATGTATGTACTCTACCGTGTCCCCATATGTATGTACTTACCGTATCCCTAATACGTATGTACTACCGTGTCCCTAATCGTATGTACTTACCGTATCCCTAATATGTATGTACTTACCGTGTCCCCAATACGTATACTACTTACCGTATCCCTAATATGATATGTACTTACCGTTCCCAATACGTATGTACTTACCGTGTCCCTAATAGCAATGTACTTACCGTGTCCCTAATACGTATGTACTACCGCGTATGTACCCTAATGTATGTACTTACCGTGTCATGTACTTACCGTGTCCCTAATATGTAGGTACTGGTACCCGTGTGCCCTAATACGTATGTTAACTGTTACCCCGTGTCCCTAACATGTATGTACTTACCGTGTCCCTAATATGTATATACTTACGTGTCCCTAAATATCGTATGTATTGTACTACCGTGTCCCTAAATGTATGTACTTTACCGTGTCCCTAATATGTACTTACACGTGTTCACTTACCGTGTCCCTAATACTATGCTATGTACTTACCCCAAATATGCATGTACTTACCGTGTCCCTAATATGCATGTACTTACCGGTGTCCCTAAATACGTATGTACTTACCCGTGTCCCTAATATGGGCATGTACTGTCCCTAATATGTATTTACCGTGTCTAACATGCATGATATGCCAGTAGGCATGTACTTACCGTGAATAGTCAATATGCCTGTCCGTCTAATATGGCTATGTCCACTAATATGTATGTCTTACGGTGTCCCTAAATATGCCACCAGAGTGTAATATGTAGGATTACTTACCGTGTCCCTAATATGTATGTACTAACGTGTCCCTAATAGTATGTACTTACCGTGTCCCTAAATTATGTGCGGTACTTTACCGTGTCCCTAATATGCATGTACTTACCGTGTCCCTACTTACGTCCCTAATATGCATGTGTCCCTAAATATGGTATGTACTTACCGTGTCGCCTAATATGCGTGTGTCCCTAATATGCATGTACTTACCGTGTCCCTAATATGCATTACCTTTACCGTGTCCCTAATATGTAGGTACTTACCGTGTCCCTAATATGTATGTACTTACCGTGTCCCTAATATGCATGTACTTACCGTGTCCCTAATATGTACTACTTACCGTGTCCCTAATATGCATGTTACTTACCGTGTCCCTATGTATGTACTTACCGTGTCCCTAGTATGTATGTACTTACCGTGTCCGTGTCGTATGGTATTATATGTATGTACTTACCGTGTCCCTAATATGTATGTACTTACCGTGTCCTAATATGTAAGTACTTACCGTGTCCCTAATTACGTATGTACTTACCGTGTCCCAAATATGTATGTACTTTACCGTGGTGTCCCTAATATGTATGTACATTACCGTGTCCCTAGTATGTATGTACTTACCGTTCCCCTAATATGTATGTACTTACCGTGTCCCTAGTATGTATGTACTTACCGTGTCCCTAATATGTAAGTACTTACCGTGTCCCTAAACGTATGTACTTACCGTGTCCGCTTAGTTACTTACCGTGTCCCTAATACGTATGCTACTTACGTGTCCCTATATGTATGTACTTTACCGTGTCCCTAAATACGTATGTACTTACGTGTCCCTTAGCATACGTATGTACTTACCGTTGATATGTATGTAGCTTACCGTGTCCCTAGTATGTCTGTACTTACTAGGGACACGGTAAGTACATACATATTATGTACTTACCTATTCCCTAATATGTATGTACTTACCGTGTCCCTAATATGTATGTACTTACCGTGTCCCCAATATGTATGTACTTACTACACTAGGTACTTACCTCCTGTATTGTATCCTCCATAGATTTTGTAATGTTGGCCAAAGTACAATGGATCGTTGGTGTCATAATCTTGTAACACATAACGTAAATTGTCCACCAACACATACCTGCAACATAGCCATGGTATTATAGGTATGTGTGCGTGTGGGTGTGTATGTATGTATATGTATGTGTGCGTGTGGGTGTGTATGTATGTCATGCTGTATGTATGTGCTGGCGTGTGGCGTGTGTGTGTATGTGTATAGTATGTGTGCGTGTGGCCGTGCTAATGTTATGTATTATGCAGTGTGTGCGTTTGGGTGTGTATGTATGGATATGTATGTGGTGCGTGTGCGGTGTGTGTGTATGTATATGCAGTGTGTGGCGTGTGGGGTGTGTATGTAGTGTTATATGCAGGCCTGTGCTGCGTGTGGAGCGGTGTGTATGTATGTATATGTATGCTGTGCGCTTAGTGGGAATGTGTGCAAATTGGGTAATGTAATATGTATGTGTAGCGTGAGAAGGTAGGGGTGGTGATAGTGTATAATTAAGGTAGGTATGTGTGGATGGGGCCGTGAGTCGGGTGCTGTTATGTATGTATATGCTGTGTGGTGGAGAGGAGCGACTAGGGAGGAAGGCAGGACGGCCCGTGTGGGTTGTATGTATTTATATTGAGTGATTGATGTGCGTGTGTGCTGTGTATGTAAGGTGGTGATATGCAGTGTGTGAAGGGTAGGACCCCGTTGGTGGGTGTGTATTGTAAATGTTATGCTAGTGTGTGCGTGTGGGTGTGTATAGTTAGTGCAGAATAGGTATGTTGTGGACGAAGAGTGCTGGCGTTGTGTATGTAATGTATATGCAGTGTGTGCCGTTTGTAGGGTGGATAGTAAGTGAGTGATGTTATATGTATGTGGTATGAGAGCGGTGTGAGGCGGTGTTGTATGTATGTATATGTATGTGTGCGTAGTGAGGTGTGTATGTATTGTAATAGATGTAGGCGGGTAGTGTGGAGAGCGATAAGTGGTGGTGAGTAAGGCTGAGGTATGTATGTATGTATTATGCAGTGTGTGCGTGTGGAGAGAAGTGTGCTATGTATGTATATGTATGTGTGCGTGTGGGTTGATGATAATGGGATAAGTTGGATGATGTGCTGTTGTGCGTGTGCAGGGTTCTAATGTATGTGGAGGCACAGTATTGTGAGTGTGTGCGTGTGGGTGTTGTATGTATGTAATATGTATGTGCTGAACGGTGATGGGGTGAGTGTACTGCTATGTATACTGTTATGTCGTGCGCTGTCTGCTGGTGTGTATGAGTTATTAGTGTATGTGTGCGTGTGGAGGTGGTGAATGTATGTATATGCAGCTGTGTGCGTGCTTGCGAGGGATTGTGTATGGTATGATATAGGTTCATCGTGGTGCACGTGGGTGGGTGTGTTATGTAATGTAATATACGTAGTGTGTGCGTGAGTGTCGGCGCGTGTGTATGTATTATAGGTTTATATGGGTGTGGTAGACGAGGTTGTGGCAGAAGGAGGGTAGTGAAAGCGCAGGCTGTATGTATGTATATGCAGTGTGTGCGTGTGGGTGTGTATGTATTACTATATACAGGCGTGATGCGTGTGGGTGTGTGATGTATGTATATGCTATTGTGTGCGTGAGTGGAGGGTGTGATGATGTGATGTATAATGTATGTGTGCTGTGGGATGTGGGCTGTATTGTATGTATATAACAGTGTGTTGTGTGTGGGTGTGTATGGATTAGGTGATATGTATGTGCGCGTGTGGGTGTGTATGTATGCTAGTATGTATGTGTGCGTGTGGGTGATGGTGATATGGTATGTATATGCAGCTGTTGTGGCGTTGTGCCTGGTGTGTATGTATGTATATGCAGGCGCCCTGTGTGCGTGGATAGGGGGATGTATAATGTATGTATATGCAGTGTGTGCGTGTGGGTGTGTATGTATGTATATGCAGTGTGTGCGTGTGGGTGTGTATGTATGTATATGCAGTTGATGTGGCGGAGGATGTGAGGACGGTGTGTATGTATGATAAATAATGCACATGGTGGGTGCAGTGGTGGGTTATGTATGTATGTATATGCAGTGTGTGCGTGAACTAGGAGAGGCAGGGAGATGAGGCTGTTCATCAGGTGTGAGTATGGAGTATTAGAGTGCATAGGTGTGATGGGAGGAAAGACCGAAGAAAGGATGTCTGCGTGTGGGGTATAGATGTATGTTATGAGAGCCCTATATGAGTCAGGCAGGATGAGTGGAGGATGGGGACAGGGGGTACGAGTAGGTGTGTATGTATGTAGTTATGGAGAGGGGCGCAGGGAGGAAGAGCAGAGAGGAGATGTGTGCGGGTGCGCGGTATAGGGAAGGGGTGGCGAGTCGTGGGGAGAATGGAGGCATGTAATGTATATATGTGATTATGTGTGGTACATGATAATAATGCTATTGATACATAACATAACAGCCACAGATTAACAATAATATAAGGTTAAACGAGTTTATATCAATAGCATGAACGATGTGAGTGAATTATGGATTTAATGTAGATTTTATGATATATGTATCATGTGCATAGTGTATGAGTTTGAAGTCATGATGTCTGTATGATAAGCGATTAAGTAGTGGTGTGTTATATAATTTGTACAGTTGATATCATTTAGCACTCAATGCGATATGTCGGGTTTAGTATAGCGTTAGTGTGGTGTGTTAATGTTATGTATTATGTATATATGTTAATATGTTATAGTGCGTTAGTGCGGTGTGTATGTATGTATATATGCAGTATGTGTGCGTGTGGCTGAGTATGTGTATGTATATGTATATGGCTCAGTGTGTGCGTATTATATAAGTATATAGTGGCGTGTATGTATGTAGTATATGCTACAGTTGTATAATCTAGAGATACCTGGTGCGTGTGGGTGTGGCCATTTATGTATGTATTGCAGTGTGTGCGTGTGGGTGTGTATGTATGTATATGCAGCTGTGTGCTGTGTGGTGTGTATGTATGTTATATCGCAGCGCAAGTGATTATGTGCGTCGTGGGCACGTGTGTATGTAATGTATATGCAGTGTGCTGCGTGTGTGTTGTTGTATTTATTTGTGCTTATAAGGTATACGTGGATTTCAGAAATACACCACGGACGCACGCTCACACTCACTAAACAAAAAATAAATAAATAAATAAATAACATGATCGACGGCCTCATGGACCGCTATTGCTCGCGATCGCTCAGTTAGTGATAGTGTTATGTAATACCATAATGTTAGTTAATAATATATGTATATATATATATAGTATCTATTATAATATATATAATGTGTAATAAATGTGTGTGTGCGTGTATGTAATCCGTGCGTGCGTGTGTGTGCGTTTGTGTGTGCGTGCGTGTCATATATGCCGAGCGTGTGTGTGCGTTTATTGTGCGTGCGTGGTGCGTGGCGTGTGCGTTTATGTATCCGAGCGTGCGTGTATGTATACGTGCGTGCGTGTATGTATGCGTGCGTGCGTGTGCGTGGCTTATGTATCCGTGCGTGCGTGTGTGTGTGTGTATGTATGCGTGCGTGCGTGTGTGTGTGTATGTATGCGAGTGTGTGTTCGTTTATGTATCCGTGCGTGCGTGTATGTGCGTGTATTGTATGCGTGCGTGCGTGTGTATGTACGTGTATGTATCTGCGTTGCGTGCGTGGTGCTAGTGTAGGTTATGTATGCGTGCGTGCGTGTATGTATGTGGCGCGTGATGTGGCGTTATGTATAGTCCGTGCGTGCGTGGGTGTGTGCGTGCGTGTGCATGTATACGTGCGTGTGCGCGTGTATGCTGCGTGGTATTTGCGTGTGTGCGATGTATGCGTGCGTGTTGCTATACGTTGCGTGGTGTGTGGCGTTGTATGTATCATTGTATGCGTGTGTGTGCGTGTATGCAATGCGTGCGAGTGCGGTGCGTGTGTGTGCGTGTATGTATCGTGCGTAGTGTATATGTATGCGTGCGTGTGGTGTGCGTGTATGTATGCGTGCGTGTGTGTGCGTGTATGTATGCGTGCGTGTGTGGTGCGTTTTGTATTGCGTGCGTGTGTATATGCGTTTATGTATCCGTGCGTGCGTGTGTATGCACGTGTATGTATCCGTGCGTGTGTGTATATGCGTTTATGTATCCGTGCGTGCGTGTGTGTGCGTATATGTGCGTGCACAACAGCGTACGTGTCACTGTCCGCCTTCAGGAACCACTCGAAGTCCCGCAGGTGGTTCTCGTAGATGTACTTGACGGCGCAGCGGGTTTTGTTCCACAGCTTCGTGTAGCCTTCCCGACTCCCGACGTCCACGGCGCCCACAGAAGGGTCTGGAGGGAGGGGGGAGGCTTGTTCTTAATCCTTTTCTCGTCTTAGTTTTTATTTTTTTTTTTTTTTGCTATATTTATTTATTGTTCCATTTTATTTGTTGTTATTATTTTAGTTTTATTTCTGTTTTTTGTTTTTTTGTATTTTTGTTTTGTTTTTGTTTTTTCTTCTTTCTCATATTTTTCTTGTTTTTTTGTTTTTTTCTTTCTCGTCTTTTTCTTCTTCTTCCTTTTTTTTCTTCTTCTTCTTCCTTTTTTTCGTCTTCTTCTTCTTCCTTTTATTTCTTTTTTTCTTCTTCTGAAAAGTTTAAAGCATTACTGTCTGTGTTCTTCCAAGATCTGGCATTTAATGATTCAATATTTACTCTACAAATATTCTTTTTTTTTTTTTTTTTTTTTTTTTTTCTTTTTCTATCGTGGACTGATATGATTTGAGTTTCACATGTTAATGAGGATAAAGATAATAATAATGACATTTATGATAATGATGGTTAAGATAATGATAATGACATTTATAATAATGATGATAAAGATAAAGATAATGACATTCATGATTTTAATGATAAAGATTATGATAATGATGATAAAAATAATGATAATGACATTTATGATAATGATGATAAAGATAATGATAATGACATTTATGATAATGATGGTAGGGATAATGATGATACTTATGCGATA